AAAACACTCACAACACTTCACCTTTATGCTGGGCTAAACTCAGGGTAGCCATAAACACTCTGAAGTAATACAAACCTAAATATTCCTGCTAGGCAAACGGAGCAGTGGAACCGAATTATAATGAGCTAGCAGCTGTCACAATATGACCACAGTAACCAAATCAAAATATCAACCGCTAACCCAGATGAGATTCAAAGGTCATCCTGTAAGCCAGCAGCTTTCTTCAGTTCTGCCTGAAACCTCAATCTAATCCAGCAGTAAAATGTTCCACTGAGCTAGGTTAGAAACCATTTACTCTATGGTGGTAAATTATTTAATGCTCTGAGAAAGTACCATGAGTAGGACTAGTACCAAATACCACAGTAAGGAAACTGAACCATTCAAAATGGGCCATGTGAAAGCATAGCCCCTGATGCTGAACTAAGCTGTAGCCAAGTGTACAAAAGTATCACTTTTCACACCCTTCAGTCACAAATGCCATGTATGTAATTTTATGGGGCAACTTGCTCACTTATCCTCAGTTTTCAATCGATGCTCTGGAATAATAAAAGGAAAATGGAATGCTTAGCTCCTTCCTTGGATCAAATAGTTTTAGCTAGAAAATATATTGTCTACCATTGTAAAAATATTTGGACAATTACCTGCAAAAGTTTAGTGCTTGACAAAGGGAAAAAAAGGTTTTCTTTTTTTAAGTGCATATTCTTTCCATATACTTCTCACTAGGATTTTCAAACTCTTCTATAGCATATAAATAACCCTCTTAAAAAACACAGGAGTTAGACTCATGGACCCTTTCTACCATTAGAATACTCTGAAAACTATCCAACTGACCACCTAGGAAGGTTTCATCACATTGTTTAAGAACTGCAATGAACGAGTTTCCAATAGGTCCAGTGTACATTACAATCATTAATTATGATAGGCAATCATAAGGAAGAAATGATTTATTTTCTCCAGATATAAAACAATGCATGGAATTTCAACTAAGGCAAAATGTAACCTGGCATGTATCTACACAATGAAAGCAATGAGTGAGTTCTTAGTAAATGTCAGGTAAAAGTGTATGAATTGGTCAATGCAGACAGTCAGTACTCACATCTCTCAGCCCTGCCAACATCGAAACAAACAGAAAGGCTATTCACACCTATTTTTTAAAAATGTAGGAGCTTGCTTTCTGTTTCTGTTAGTTAGGCTTTTCTTTAACAGATTTACAAATATCAACCACTAAAACCCTGTATGACAAGTATAATCACAGACAGGAACACAGAACAATCTTATAAACTAAGAAATGTCATTAATTCTTCTAGCACGATACATACATCGGGTGTGTGGGTGTACATGTGTGTCCATGCATGTATAACCACACATGGGTGTTTTGGTTATTTTACTTTAGGGATTCACAAACTATCAAATAGTGCTATTTTTCCACACACACAAGCTTATTTCTAAAAGAATAAATTAACACAAACATTTTATTACTTTTGAGATGGGATCTCACTCTGTTGCCCAGGTTGGGGTGCAATGGCATGATGTCAGCCCACTGCAACCTTCGCCTCCTGAGCTCAAGAGATCCTCCTTCCTTGGACTCCCAAGTAGTTGGGACCACAGATGTGTGCCACCACGCCTGGCTAAGTTTTTGTAATTTTGGTAGAGATGAGGTTTCATCATGTTGCCTAGGCTGAAACACTTTATTACTCTTATAACTTACATCCCACTTTGCATAAATTTGAAATAGAGACACAAATGAACTGAGTTTTGGAATTTCAGTGCCAAATAGCAGTATTATGTTTAAAAATCTGTAAAATGCAAAACCATTCATGTGAAATCAAGAAGTTCAGAGTTGTAATAATGGGTTTCGTTACCATAAAAGAGCTTATAAACAAATATACTAGCAATGCCTGTTATCATTTCTCTAAAATTGTATACTGCCATAAAGAACAAAATATATAATTAATAACAATCCACTCTCAAAGAGAAAGAGTAGTGCAGTACTTTTTTCTTTCTTTGCAGTAAAATAAAACCTTACTAAATGAACAGTTTACCAAAAAGAAAAAAGAAAAAAAAAAATCAGGTCATCTGCAGTTAATAACTCTTTCCTGTAAAATTAGTGTCACTTATTTCTGTAGCAGACGCCTAATTCAGTCACAGGCTTGATTGATTTGACAATAGAGAATCTGCTCCAATAAAATGGCTGATTTATTTCTGATGCTATAGCTTTTACCCTGACGCAACATCACGGTAGAATTAAGTCTTTGAAACAGAAAGAAATACTTTGCACTTTTAACGAAAACCAGTTAAAGATTCTGAAAGTGGAGACTGGAGTGTTGTCCAACACTTATACTGAAGTCTACTACCTTCTTTTGGTAGAAAGAAAATGTCCACAAAGGTCACAACATGGGCTCTGGGTCTGGACACAAAGTGCAGTTTAGAACACAGCATATATGCTAGGAGTTCAAACTGTCCCCTACACCAATAGATCTTACTTTGTTTTTATTACCATTTGTAAATTAATTGTCCTTAATTTCTTGAAAGTGATCTATCTTTTCTTTGTAAAGCTGTAACATAACACCAAATATGGCTCATCTGAAAAGTGGTTTCATTTTAAACAAACAGCAGCTTGGGCAAAATCAATGAGAATCTTTGTTCCCCGAATCTAGCCTTCAGATACGCAAGCCAATCAAGAAGGCGTCTGGGATGTGAGAAATTACAGCGATGGGAAGAGTTTTTAATGCAGCATCAGAGTGAATTCTCTTAAAAAAAAATTGTTCTTCTCTAAATAAAACTGTAAGGTATTTCATACTTGCTTCAATGTCTTTTTCTCCCTTTTCCATTTTTTTTCGCATACCACGCCATGCCCTCTCGCTCTGAGGGCGACTTCCCTGACCCCAGTCTGACACTGCGCCAGTTAATGTCAGATAAACCATTTAGCCCAAGCACAATTCTTTTCTGTGCAAAAATCTGCTTGAGGTGGAAAATGTAGCAGTTTGTAAACAATGAAGAGCCATGTTTCAAACCAGACAGCTTATCTAACAGAGAAGTCCTTTCATTGGGAACAGTGGGTGGGGGCCTCGTGGACATAGTAGCATTTCCTATCACAATGCAGGAGACTGTCTTGGTCTCCATATTTAAGAGTTTAATGGGAAGGAGGGCAGACGGGATAAAAGAGCAAGGCTGACATGGATTTGCAGCCTAAAAAACAACCAAGTGAAAAGAATCCGCTCTCTCTGCTCTAGACTGTCAGGCCACTTATATTTTAAATACTATTTGGATTGAAAAACTAATTTTATTTGTAAAGCAGTTGCCCATGAGGAAACATGAATAGAACAATCATTTAATCTGTTTGTACTGCTTGGTGTATTCTGGAATATTAATTTATCAAGTTGTTCTTAAGAGTTAAAACTTTTTTCGCATAGAAAACATAAACTTCTCACTATGAGTATTTATTTATTCATTTTTCTCACTGTAGCTCATTAGAGGATCATTTTAGGATCCAAGGAAGTTAGTATATTATTTAAGCGCTACTTCTCAAGACTCTATTTTCAAATAAATCTTTTATTCCAAGCAGTTGTGTGAAGATGAATAGAAAAGCAAAGGTGCTGGAAATAAAATCATAACTATTGACACTGAAGAGTCAAAAGCTGCCTTTTAGAATCTAAGTTGATAAATGTATCTAGTCACCTGTATCTACATATCCTGAGAACAAGAAACAATGCACCTTCCTATCAACAACTGATAAAGGACTGGGATTCCTGTTTTAGTTACAATGTTAAAACATACATATGAAATTTACTACTTTGAAGGCAAAAATAACACAAAAATAAGAACATCCTATGACCAAAACCAACCTTGTGGTTCTCAAAGTTGGTAAGACACTCAAAGGCATGAACATATGATGTCACCCATTAACTATAAGTTGCTACTATTTATCTGCTTTGACTATTTTGTGTTAAATATCTGAAATCCATTTAGATGGATTTGACAGTGATTTTTCAAAGAATGCGAGATTCAAGGACCTGAAGTAACCGGTATAGCTTCCAAAGCTTAAAATCATGACATTCTTTAGAAGCATTTGCAGTTATGGTCTCTGAAAAGTATAATTACCGTTGTGTGTTTTCCTTGGAGTGTTGTCCAACAGCTTGTACCAAGAAATGTAACTTCACTTATTGACAGATTCTCAAGAGAATCTGGCCAGGTTGAGAGATTTACTAATATTGTTAAAAACTCATGTTTACTAGAACAAAGATCATTTTTTCAATCAAAACTAAAGTAGCCAGCTATTGGACCTTTTAAGACATTAGGAATCATCTTTTCATTGCTCAAGTTACTGCTGTTAAACAAACGTCCCTACAGGGTAGCCAAAAGCAGAAAAACATGCTGAGGATGCCAGGATGAATGGCATGCTGGAGATTCACAGACAGCTCAAACTAACAGGTAACTTGCTTTAGTAAAGCAGGATGCGGTCTGCCTAGGCCATTAGCACTGAAGTTCACGCCTTGATAAATACACAACCCGATTTTACAATTCAACTTGAACGCACTACTCTGATTTAAGCACACTAAGCCCATTAACACCATTTATTTTCATAAACCCTTTAGCAGAAATCACAGTTAACACTGACTATATATCATTGCCAATCAACAAGCCCAGTGATATTTTTATTCTAAATATTCACCACTTTGACTTCATCTACCTTAACTCAGAAACTACTGATGCAACATTGAAACTGTGGTCCGTGCTTTAGGTCTAAGGAAAACAAAATTTCCACGTAGATTCAGTATCACCAAAAGCATTTCATTCCATATGGTTGTAAAACTTAATCTTTGATATACTATTACCAAACACAGACTGCCAATACTTCTCTGCAATTTAAGATTATTACAAGTGAACTGACTAAATATCCAAATTTCTAAAAGCAGAACCTCTGTCTAGGACATGGTTTTACCTTCTATAGTAAAACATAAGCATTTAAAAGGTGTAGGTTAATTTAAAATGAGTCTTACTTTGTATTCTGGAATTGACAAAAGGTGGAGAGAGATTGTCATGTGACCCAAGGTCCCTGCTGGTCATGTGGTCATAGGGAGTCCCATCTCCATAGTTCTGTAAATAAAATAACAGTGTAAGTTGTTATTTTATATTAATAAACAGCACATAAACATGGCCCCACTACCAAAACTTCTCCCATCCTAAAAAAACTGGAGTCCACTATTCCCTCGCTGGAATTTCACTAGAAGGAATCTGCACCTTCACAGGTATAGTGGCTAAAAGAAAGCTCTAGAGTCTACGAAGTCCAACTTTTCCTCAAAATAGCTGAGAAATCTTAGAAATAATAATAATGGTATCAACGGCATGGGGTTGTTGACATGATTAAATAAAATAGTGTATGTAAAACATCAGACACCTATAAAGTATACTGCGTATGTTAAAAATTATTATTTTAATAAGGCCACATTAAAGCAAAATAGTGCCACAAGGGAAAATTAGGCATAGCATGCAATGAATTGCTTTTCAAAGACCAAGATAGAGCCATTCAAACAATAACTTTTGGTGTTAAGATACTGAAGTTTCAATGTTTTATTATAGGATACTGAAGTTTCAATGTTTTATTATAGTTACTATTGTGGTTGTAAGATAACTAGATTGTCACATAAGTAATTAACACATAAGAAAGTTAAGAATATTAGGATTTAACTATGATATGAACATCAAAACATTAGCATAAATTAGCATTTCTGGAGTTGGACAAAGTATGTCACAAAAAAACAACCAGTTTAAGGAAGACAAATTTTGACAGAAATATTTCATTATTACAATCAGTTTATTGTTTTAAGGGGAATTTAAAATTAAAACAATGTTTTTAAGCTGTCCAGTTACTTAATTTTAATGGGGAAATTTGATTACATGGTAGAAAAAAGTTAAAATCATCTATACTACAGGGTTCAACGTTCAGTCTACTAAATTGCATAAAGTGACCAAAGAGAGGGGGGAAAGTCATTCTGCTCAGCTGGTGGAACTGCCCATAAAGTCTAAGTCAAATTTACTCAGAAGTATCGGTTGCATGTGAGTCAAAGGGCAGAATCTGCCCACACACAAAAAAAGGGGGCTGCTGCATGAACTAGGAAAAGACACATCCCCTCCACCTTAAGGAAAACAACCCCGTTCTCAGTCACCTTTCCTCATGTGTAACAACTAACTTGACTGATACTATAGTCTAATTCTGCCAACATGTCGATCTATAAAAGGAGGCTACATTGTAAATACCCATCATAGTACACTCATTCATTCTATACCAGGCATTGCATAATGCTAATTATCACTTATTAAGTGTCCTCATCCTAGATAGTGTACTAAAAGCTTAATATATATTATCTAATTTAATCCTCAGCACAGTGCTGGAACGTAGACACTCTCCCCATGTTAGGATGAAAAAAGAGAGACCTTGAAAGTCTGCCTGGGTATAAATCTGCCACAAATGATTTGTCTCATGCAAACTTCTGGATTTAGAAAATATAAATTACACTAAATTGGTTTGAAATTATTCACCAATATATTCGTGAGAAAAATGGCAGGACAGCTAACAAAAACCAAAAGCTAGTTAGTTTTAATCCTAAATTAAGATGATTCTAAACAGACCTTGTTTTCTGAAACACAATTAAAAGTACCATGTGTACTGAATGGAGAAATCATGAGAAATTGTGAAAATCTGGATGAACTAAACAATTGAGGGGAGTTCTATGATCTCCACTTGCTGTCAAGGGGAATGGATTTATTTCTGCAAGTGCAGACTGTAACATGAGGAGGAGGAAAGATTTCCTCAACCCATCCATATAAAGCATTAGAATGTCAAGCGCGACAGCTGGTGTAAGGGCTCACAAAGTTACTGGTAAGCTTAGAGATCCTGCTGTACCCTGAACACTAGACTAAGGATCACAATGCCAAGGACAGGTGGAAATGTCTAACTCTGACTTGCTGGAATGTCCTCATTTTGACAGCTTGATTACCTTCCCTGCCTCTTATGCCAAAATGGAACCTTCCCCCAACCCAAATTTGTGTGAACATTTACAGTAAAATGTTACCCTCCCTGCAGAATGCTTCATCTATATATAGCTGGTTGGGAGAGGAAGAGATGTTGGTTTTACCATGTACACTAAGTGTACTTTTAATCTGGGGCATTATATGTACATCATAAAAGCGGACATGGATTTTAGAGGGCCTAGCAATGATTCAGTTAAAGAAATTTCATACAAAATCATGGATATTTAAATTGGAAGAAACATAGATGATCCTCTGGCTCTACTTCCTCATTTTGCAAAATAGGAAAATGAGGACGCAAGAGATGAAATGACATGCCCAGGATCATATACATACAAAAATACATAGTGCCTAACCACCCACCCAGCTCTTATTCCGTGGTCTTCCTATTACACCCCAAGAAACAACCAATGCATGCAGGAAAACTGTGGAAAAGAATAACAAAAACTTGAGAGCAAATAAATGAATGATCCAACTAGTGATCAAAGTCCCTACTGGTGGAACGATAACATGTCTACAAAGTGAAATCAACTCAGATTCAGTACGTAGATCATACCGGTAGGATAGAACCTCGTACTGTATCTTTGGGATTATTCTGTAGTCTGTTCACACCAATACATTATAGGGATATTAGGAATTTTTTTAAAGTTTTTCCATCTACAACAAATAGCATTGTGTAATATCGATCAACAACTGACAAAAGAAAGACCAAATATGTAATGAAGGAATTTTCTTCTGGTTAGCAGAAGTGGAACAGGTGTCAAATTGAATAACAGCATTCAATAAGAGAATGGGAAAAAAAATTCCAAAGTCAAGCTGATCCTCATTAAACTTAGTATGCACATATATGTGTGTGTGTTTGTATGCACGTGCATGCCCATGCCTCTGTGTGTGTGTGTGTGTGTGTGTGTGCGCGTGCGAGAAAGAGAGAGAAACAGAGAGAGAAACACACCTTCTGTTTGTCAATTTACATATGTGGGATGTCTGGTTGTGGGAGAAAAGATTAGATATACTTACCCTGGACGGGCTTGGATGTCCTCCATTCCCCCAGGACCCTGAGCTACTTCTGTCTTCTACATCTAGGGACAAGAGAAAAGTTCTTTAGGCTTTCTTGCAGTAATTTTTTCTTTTTGTATATGCACTTTTAAATTAATGTTTCAAATTAATCTCCTGTTGCCTTTAATTAAGAACCAGGCACAGGGCTACCATGATGATAGTGGCTTCTGACCCATCTACTTAAATTAACTCATTTAAATTCACAGCAGAAATGAACTGGACCCTCAGGAACCAGAGGTATGAACATAAAAATTACTTCTATCCTTCACAGTGTTTGACAGTCTCAGTTTTTATAGATGTGAAACTGTACTTAAAGTTTTATTACAATCTTTTGGATAAAATAAGTTTTAAAATACACTAACACAGCTTTAATCCAAAAAAAGTTAAATTAAGGTAAATATCCACACTAACACCTTTAGCATCCTCGCCATAATGCTCTTGGATCCTTTCTGTTCCACAGCCCAGGCTTATCACAGGAGACACCAGACATGCAACAGAAAATGAGACTGAGAAAGTATTCAGTAGTCTATTTCCACCAGCACATTACAGGGATATTAGGACTTAAAATAAAAACTTTTTTTAGGTTAAGACAATACTGTCTCTGTCTTTCAATTTTTTTTTTTTTTAACTAGACATACCACTTGGCCTGCAATCCTTAATCTGCGCTTTGATATGTGGAAATGAATGTGGTTATTCCATTATAAAGCAATGTTTTGTTTTGATAGATGACGGTGAAAAGACCTACATGAACCGTCGAAAAGTTGGAATTCTAAACTCGATACCAGCGAAGTTTCAATGCTGAGTAGATTACGAAATGTTCCATCCACGCTCCAAATGGCAAATATGCAGGATGGAAAGTCTAACAGCTAAGTTACCATATTAATTGCTTAAAACATAAAAGTGTTTTAAAGATCAGTCGCTCTATATTTAGAAATGGCTGTGAGATTTTTGATGAAAGGGCCTTCATAAAAGTATAAAAAGTTTCACTGTTACATTATTTTGATCACGGCTGATAACAGACGGCCATCACAAACACCCTCTGACAGAAGTGGAGGAGGAAGCGTGAAACTATGGTTCAGGAGATACAATCCCATTTATTGTGTTTCCTAACATTTCAGTGATACTGTTTATTCTTTTAATGCTCTACTGTCATTCCTTTTATTATTACTGCTATTTTATTATCAGCAGAAGTAATCATAGTATAATTAATTGATTTATTTTGGGATACAGTAGAGTACACGGTGTTTCAGAATATCTTAAGAGATAGAAGAGCGACAACAACTAAGTTATTACCACTAAATTAACTTCTCTCTCTCTTTTTTTCTAATGACAAATATTATTTCACTTCCTTTTAGTTGGTGCTTCAGAAGATAACACAAACTGCAAACAGATGTCCCCTATGGACAGTTAAAATCAGTGCACTGTGAGCTTCAAGGCATGTCAAGAAAGCTCTCGGGACTGCATCAAGCCTAGAGAAAAGGTGTAAAACCTTCCCCAGATCTGCTGTTTTAACAACTCAGCATGCTGGCCTATCCTGTATATGTTGAACTGAAGCACACAAAGAAGCTACTTACAACCCTCTGGGATTCGCACATAAATAAATTTTGTAGCCTACATGGTTCTCTTAATTCTTAAACAAAAACCAAATATTTTCAGCCAAAATAAAAAGTGTATAAATAACAAAATCGCTCAACCACTGCAAGCTTTCAAAAGTCTGGCGCATCTTGACTTTCTTTTCACCTATAACAGCCAGCTTGGATTCATTTGAGAGATTTCTCCTCTTGAATTTGGCCAAAAAGTAATGGAGGAACAGATTTGAATCCCTATAAAGTACCACAAGATTTCAAATTGTCTGGACTCATTTTATCTTTTCAATTTTAAAAGAGGATTTTAAACATGCAAAGTAGGCAGAGACTTGGAGGAAAGAGGACACTATGGCCAGGTCAGTGGAGCTTCTGCATCCCAAGTGACATTCGGCAAAGCCACTCAGGAGACATTTTCGGTTGTCACAACTTGGGTGGTGCTAGTGGCACTGATTACACAGGGGCCAAGAGTTGCTACTAAGTGTCTCATAAATGCACAAAACAGCTCTCCACAGTAAGAAATACCCTGTGCAGGGCACAGCAGCTCACACCTGTGATACCAGCACGTTGGGAGGCTGAAGCAGAAGGATTGCTTGAGGCCAGGAGTTTGAGACCAGCCTGGGAAACATAGCAAGATTTTGTCTCTACAAAAATTTTTAAAATTAGCCAAGTGTGGTGGAACATGCCTGTAGTCCTAACTAATTGCAGGGGCTGATGCAGGAGGATCCCTTGAGCCCAGGAGTTCAAGGTTACAGTGAACTACGATTGTGCCACTGCACTCCGACCTATGCAACTGAGACCTCGTCTCTAAAATATATATATATTTTTAGTGTTCTGAGCCCAAATAAAAATTGTGTTGAGATTGAGAAGCCCTGTGCTACAGCAAAAGGAATGAAGTTGGAGAAAAGACGTACTAAAATTTGTTTATAATTTAGTAAGAACTCTTACTAAATATACAGCGTTTCTTATGCACTTTAACCCAGACTTGAGCTGGAATGTACCAA